GAAACACACTAATTTCATCATTTTGCTCATCTCAGGGAAAGTGAGAGATACTCTTCTCAAGAAATAAAGAACTAAAGAATCGTGGGAAGTTACTCCACTAGAGCAAAACACCAACCTACCTTATGACTTGCAGGTATATAAAGCAGAACACAGTTCACACCGTGAAAGACTTCTAAACACAAAGCACCATATGATTGGACTCTATTTAAAGAAAAACAAGGTATTCACACTGGATCACATAGCCGACCCAACTTTATAGATAAATTACACCTCAACAAAGTCACGCAGAAATGTTGCGGTAGAAGGATTGGAAGATTTCAAGAAAAATCCACATAAAAAAAAAAAAAAAGAGGTTACTATCTTAATTAGTAATGCTGACTCCAAAGCATCCTCTGGGAGTGGTGATACATGCCTGTAATCCCCAGCATTTGGGAGGCTGAGGCAGGAAGATCACCAGGAGACCATAGCTAAGCTGAGCTACACAGTAAGTTCAGCACCAGCCTGGAATACGCTGAGACCCTGTCTCAAAATTAAACACCTATTACTTGATGGGTGAGACCCTAATGAGTCTTAGGTTGATGAAATAAGCAAAACTGCAAAATATCTGGAAAGTAATGAAGTTGAAAACATTACATATTAAAGCTACAGAATATAGTAGCATAAGAAGTGCTCAATGGCCAGGCATGGCAGCACACGCTTGTAATCTTAGCTACTGGAGAGCCTGAGGCTAGAGGATCAAGGTGAGCCTGGGCAGCTTAACAAAACCCTATCGCAAAACAAAACCTGTGGGCTGGGGATTTAGCTCAGCCGCATAAGCACCTGCTTGGCACAAGGTTGTGAGTTCGATACCTGGTACCAAAAAAAAAAAAAAAGAAGGGTTAGGGTTAGGGATGTAGTAGAGCTTGTCTGGCATGCACAAGACCCTCCGACACTGCCAAAATAAAAAGAAAATCAATGAGGTTTAAAATACTTACCATAATTGAAAAAATTACTTTGTTTGACCTCATGCAAATAAACTGGAAAACCTGGATGAAATGGATAGTTCTTTGAGAAACAAAATTTATTAAAACTCATCCAAGAATCAGAATAGTTAAATATTACAGGACAAATAGATAACAGTATTAAACAGCTATTGGCCTACCCTAATAAACACTCTAGCCCAGTGTCACAGGGAATCAGCCAGCCTTTAAAGAATTGATACTTTGGGAGCTGGGGATTTAGCTCAACGGCATAAGCGCCTGCCTTGCAAGCAGGCAGTCGTGAGTTCCATTCCTGGTACCGATAAAAACGAAAAAGACAAAAAAAAAAAAAAAAAAAAAAAAGAATTGATACTTCCACTTCTGATCAAACTGCTGAAGAGCACAGATAAAGAAAGGAAGGCTAAAACCCAACACAAAATTACCCTAAAAGCAGAAAACTCAACAACCACCTTTCTGATAAAGTTGACACACAGATCTCCAGTCAAACCCAGGCCAGCAAGTATGAAGAAATGTTTCCCCAGAGCAGGTGGAGATGGACCAAGAATGCAAGGACGGTTCAATATGAAGAAATCTATTAATGTCACTGTGTTAATGGATTGAAGGAGAGAAGCCATATGTTCATCTTCATAAACACTGGAAAGTCATTTGGCAAAGTTCCAAAGTCCATTCTTGATTTTTTTCAACCCTTTAATAAAACAGGAGTAGATGGAGACTGACTTAACCTAATAAAATACCTGTCCCAAAGCCAGCAGTTGCTTAATGGGGAAACCTTGAAGCTACAAAGGAAGAACGTCTGTTCCCACTGCTATTATTTTCATTGTTACAGGAGTAACAGCCAACTCTATTAAATTAAACAAGGAATCAAGACATAAAACAAAGCAGAAGGTAGACTCATCACTTGTAGGTTTCACTAGAAAACCCAAGACACTACATTGAAAAACAGTATCAACAATAAAGTAACTCCGTAAGGTGCAGAAGTTAAGAGCCTTCATACAAACAACCTTCCCTTAGGGAAGAAAAGACTAATCCAGCCAAACTATCCAGAGGTGAACGTGATCACAAAATGTACAAGATCTAAATGAAGCAAATATTAAAAAGTCCCTCAGGGACACAAAAAGAAGTCTGAACAAACAGGCACATAGTGTTCCTAAGAGTTTTGAAAAGATGCCATTATCAAAACAGTTCTTCCTAGATTCATCTGTAATGTGATGCAATCGCGGGAAAAATGTAGGCAGCATTTGTTTTTACCTCGGTAAGTGGATTCCCTAGTTCAGACAGTAGAATACACGGAGCAGCCGGGGAAATTTGTGGGAGTTAACGAGGCCGACCAAATATTAAAATGGATGAACACGATACAGCATGGATGAACCTTGAGAACATTATGCTAAGTGGAAGAAGCCACTCACAAAAGATCATGTAAGAGACTGGAGATTTAGCTCAGTGGCTTACGTGCCTGCCTGAAAAGCGTGAGGTCATGAGTTTGATCCCCAGTACCAAAAACCAAAACAAAACAAAAGATCACATACAATACGAGTCTACCCTAAGGCAAGTCCAAAATTGGGAAATCTGCATATAGAGAGGGGGTATGTGTGTGGAGAGGAATGAAGGGGGCAGCTGCTGATGGATATGGGGTTTCTTATTATGAAAATGCTCTAATATTGACTCAGGTAAACTGGACGTGGTGGTGTGTGACTGTTATCCCAGTACTCTGGAATGCCCAAGCAGGTGGATGGATGACATGTTCAAGTTCAGCTTAGACCTTATCTCAAGATAAAATAAATGATAAAAAAGGGCTGAAGATGTTATAGCACGAAGACCCTGGATCTGATCCCCAGTACCATTTAAATTAAGAACTGTGGTGATGTTCGCATCATTTGGTGAGTTCACTAAAACTACTGAATTCCTTCAAATGGTTAGACGGTATGTAAATTATATCTCAATAAACCTGTTAAAATTTTAAGTGTGTTAATAAGACTACAATAATTAAAAAACCACTGCACTGATATTTCAAGATGCTTGAATCCATACCTCACACTTTATACCAGATAAATTATAGGACTCTGTCTCAAAAACAAGAATCGAAACAACAGAAAAACAGCTCAGCCCAGAAAGACATTCTATGTATGCTGCAAAATCTAAGGCCCTAAAGGAAATGCTGACAACTCACTTCCCAAAGAAAGCTTCTCCATGGCAGAACCAAAAACAAAGGACAAAAAGCATCTGCAATTCCTAAGACAGACAGAGGTCTAATTCTAACCTACGCGAGTAGCCTGACACTGCATGCCTGTAATGCCGACACTCACGAGGCCGAGGCAGGAGGATCACCACACATTCCAGGCCAGCCTGGGCACATAGTGATTCAGGACCAGCCTACACTACATCGTGAGACCCTGTCTCAAAAACAAAACAAAATGAAAAAACCAGTTCCTACAAATCAATAAGAACAAGAACAACCACTCAAGTGAAAGATGAACCAAGAAGATAACTAGATTCTTTAAAGAAACAAAAAACAGTCCGAACATGAAAAGATGCTCAACCTCACTGTTTTAAAGCCCGACTGCAGTCTGATGCTCTTTTCCCTGCTCAGGTGAACCAAACCTCCAGGCTGCTGTGATGCCTGGGGAACAGGTCCCCTTGCACAGTACTGTGGCAGGTCCACAGGGACAGGGGCTAAAGATGTCACACCACAACAGTCCAAATTACAAACACACATTACCTTTCACCCAGTATTTCTACTTCCAGAAATTTACCCCACATGTCATTCACTGTGATGGCACCAGGTACGGTGTAGAGAGGGCCGGCTGTGTAAATTAGGGTTCACCCTTGCTAGGGGAAACCGTGGGTAAGGAAACAGGAAGCTCTTTAGAAGGCGACACGCAGGATGTGTTGTAAAGTGAGCAGGTGAGGTGTGGGACAGGGTAGGACACGGGCACTACACATCTGTCGGGATGAACATCAGCGAGAGCACCAGGAAGCTAACATAGGCTGCTCTGGGGGCGCGAGGCTTTTGCCTCTGTACTTCTTAGTGTGCTGGGCAACAATGTCAGCGCCAAGACAGACATTTAAAATGCAAGGAAAAGAAAAAGCAACAGGGGGAGCATAATGACAAACTGCAAGTGATCTGGGCCTCAGGACGCACTGAGGAGGGCGGGACCGAGGTGCTCTGGGGCCGGGCGGCCCCTTCACCGGGGAAGGTGTAGGGCAGCATTGCAGGTTTATGCTACCCGATCCTCTGAGGTTTTTCAAGATACACTAGAAATCCAATTTTTATGACAACTCTCTGTTTTTAACTATACTGGGTTCTTTGAAAGTTTTTTTTTTTTTTTTTTAAAGCCTTTTGGTGACTTGAGAACATTGTAAGAAGGTTTTCCCGGGACCCTGCTGCTACTTGGTCAAGGAGGACTGATCTGTGTAGGTCACCAAGTCTGGCTCCTAAAAGGACACACGGACAAGCAAGGGTAGAGAGGAAGAACACGGCCAAGATCACACAGGGAATTGTTCCCTGTGGCTGGGGCCTGTTCGGAATTATCTTGTGTCAACGCAGGCAAATGAGGCGAGCGAGACAGACACGGCGTACGGTGAGATGGGAGAGGAGAGGGTGAGTGCTGGCGCCAGCGGGGGACGGGGAAGGCTGCAGGGAAGGAGGGGAGGCCTGAGTTAAGGGCGATGCCAGAGTCGGTGCCACCCTAGAGGTGGGACACAAAGTGCACGGAGCAAGGGTCTTGGGAGGGTGTGGGAGGACCAAGACTCCAAGACAGGAACATGGAAAGGGATCAGAGATAAAGGGAGGGAGGAAGAAGGAGGGAACAGAATGAAAACAGAAAGGGTTAAGATGTGTCGTGCACACGTACCAGTTCCCCGCAATGAATGAACCACTGTGTACTGCAAACACACTAGTAAAAACACAAACATGGGACCACAGTGGAAGGACTCGCTGAGGGGAACAGCAATGCTGGGCCGAGGCCTGAGGGACAGAAAGCAGCCCCTGCGGGCCAAGAGGCTGAGGAGGGTCCTACTCACACTTGCGCAGCTCCAGGCTCTTGCTCGGGCAGACCAGGTGCTGGCCCGGTGGGTTTTGGGTCCTCTGCAGACAGGCCAGCATGGCTGAGCCGGGGGCCCCTGCTGGGGCGCACTCTGCGGCCGGGTCCCTGTGAGGAGGCAGATGAGGTGCTGGTCACTCGGTTGTTCCATTTCTACTGCCCACCACGGCCTCCAGGATCCCGCAGAACACCGGAGACTTTCAAAGCAGACACCCTTTGTCCCTGACAGATGGGGACACTGAGGCATATGGAGGCTCATGCCTGGCATTATGTGAAGGGAAAGAACCTAAGTCTCTTGAAGGGTGGATTTCTACCATGACAGGGCTGGAGCTGATGAGTCCTATGTGCCCCAGGCCTGCTCAGCCTGGAGGTCACCACCTCCTGCAGGCTGCCCTGATATGTGCAAATCAGTAAGATCCTCTCCTCTGAGCTCCAAGGCTGGCTGTCTTCCTGCTGGTGGCTGACCTGAGCTCTCTTGGGACACCCTGTGAGCAGACTGCTCAGCGCAGCCCACTGAGGGAGCTGCAACCTTGTCGCAGGCTGCAGCTCTGTCCCCACAGGCCATCAAGGCTGCCCTGACCCAGGCGGGATCTCTGTCTCTGTCTGACTGAGCTCCCCTCCCCTCCTGCCCAAGAGGAAAGGGCAGGGTCCCCTGCAGCAGCTCTACCTCGCCAGGCAGAGCTCTGTCCCCCGCATGTGGCAGCTCACGTGTGGCTTCCATGCTAACCCACTCCCAGAGCCGGATGCCAGTGCGCTGCCCTGCTGAGGAAATGCCAGGCCACTGGGGCGGGGACTTCCCTCCCTCACCCGTTCTTTCCCCTCTGCTGGGGAGAAGGTGGGGCCAGCTGTGGGCTCAGCCTAACCAGGCGCCCTGTCTCCATCTCGCCCCAAGTGGGTCACCTCCACCCTGGGATGGCTTAAAACGAGAAGGAAAAGGGAGAGGGAGGGTGCGTTTAAAGGGGAGAAAGGCGAGTTATTTAATACTAAACAGGTGTCTGGAGCCCTACATTCTGCTGCTTTCTTCCAATAATGAAGTATTCATGAGGAAAAGCCTTTTTTCACTACTTTCTTAAGATACTAATTTCACAACAAGCTCCTTGTTACGGTGCAATTATTCCAATCTTGTATTTCCCCAAGACGGTGGCAGCCTCCTGTCTGTCCTGGCCTCTTGGTAAATGAAAGACAATCACGTAACCACCTTTCATTATGCTCTATTTTACTTTCAGCAAAGGTACCCTGAAAGAAATGATTTCCTCTGAAAGGGACTTTTATTCAGTTTCAAAACCAATTTTCTCCTATTACTGTCTCAAGAAAAAAAAGAGAGAGAGAGAAAGAGAGAGAGAAAAAAAGACAGACACAGAGAGGCGTGGGGGATGGCTGTGGGGGAGGGAGGTGATTCTCCTCCCCTTCCCCCAGTCGCCAGCCTAACACAGCGAAGCAATAAAAAGCTGCAGTATCCACTTCCTGGCTTTGATTTCTGGTAATTTTAAAATATGCCATTACAATCAGGCAAAAATTATACAGTTTAAAGAGGGAGTGAAGTGGGGTTTACTGCAGGGATGAAAGTCCTTGACTGCGGAACGTGACACGGCTCCTTGGGGACCTGGGACGTGAGCAGGTGGCAGGAGCAGGCCTGTGCCCCCTCCACCACAGCCTTGGTCACCAGCCTCGAGGACACACCCAGGCATGTGGGCGAACTCTGTCCACCCAGAGGTGACCGGCTGGGTATCCACATTCGCTCCCACCAGAAGACAAAAATACACTGTTCACCTTGGGACACGCTCCCTGCATGTACAGGCATTCCCGGGGGCACACTTGGAAGGTGTCAGGCCTTTCTGCCTCCTGATCCATGCCGGTCTTCACACCCTGAGGCAGGGGTGAGGGTCAGCAGTGAGAGCTGGAAAAAGCCAGCCCATGCCCTTTCCTGCTCAACAGATGGGACTCAGACCCGAAGATGGCAAGCCCTGCCTGGGGCCACCCATCAGGCAGTGTGGCTGGAGAGCCCGGTCCTCACCACTGAGCTCTGCTACTGCCCAGAGGCTGGGCCGAGCAGGCTGGAGGAGGGGAGGCAAGGGACCCAGGGTGCAAAGGGGACCTGCGCTGGAAGCCTGGAACTTCTCACACTCCTGGTGCTGGCGTGCGACCCCAGCTGGGCAGCTCTGATCCCTATGATCCTCCAGGTCATTATCTACCTGGGTCCTGGCCATGTCCAGCCCTCCCTCCACCCTTTCACCAGGTTGCAGGGACCAGCAGCCCAGTTCTCACCAGGCTCACAGATCTGTGGGCCACACATCCCTGCAGCTTGTGACGGAAAAGGGTAGGCTCATGCTGCAGCTGTGAGGTACAGGGCAGACTGCCCGCTGTGCAGCCCTTGGGCCCTGCCAGCTGCCCCTCACTGGGCGCTCTTTCACAGGCAGCTCTAGCAGCCAAGCAGGGCCACCAACTGAGCGCAGGGGGTCTGGCGGAGTTTCAGGAGGAGACAGGATGAGTTTAGACACAGCTTTTCCAGGGAAGGCCCTGCTGGAGAGACTGGCACCTTGGACAGGAGGGGTTTCTTCCCTTCCCGTGGCTTCCTGCTGCTGGGGTAGGTCTGGGATGGGCAAGGGGGCCACCACTCCCAGCTCCCAAATCATCCCTTGTCTACAAGCAAGACAAACCAGAGTCCTCTGGGCCTCAACACCTCTCTGGCCTCAGGACCGACCTCTGGCCTGGTCTTGTCTCCTCACAGTCCTCAGAGCTCCCAATCTCAGAGTCATGGGGCCCTCTGCCCACAGCATCCCCAGCCTCATCCTGGTTGGTTTTAGGGCTGTCTCAGCTGTCCCCTCCTTCGGGTGTCCCCCATCTCAGCCCTAATCACACTAAGTTGTAACTGCCCATTTTCATGTCTCTCTCCACTGGGCTGTGAGTTTCTAAGGGCCAAGGGCCGTGTGTTATTTCTTTCTCTCCAGTGCCTGGCAAAGAGGAATCATTTAATAAATAGGTGTCGAATGAGTGGCTGCATCAGAGTTGCTTATTGTCAGATAAAATGACTGAGGCCCAGAGAAGCCAAGCATTCTGCACAAGGTCACACAGCAAGCCTAGGGCAGCACAGGGGCCTGTGACCACCCTCCCCTACCTGCTTCTGTCTCATTTGCAGAAAGCCAGCCTCCTGGAACGCTACACAGACCGGCTACTCCCCTGGCTGGGCCAGAGGCCATCCAGGGAGCACTGCTCATTTTGAAACCCTATCTGCAAAATCTGACTGTTTATAAGCTCAAGGTCTTTTGTGACTTTAATAATAAAAAGGAGGAGAAGGAGGGGAAAAATGTCTCTCTCAATGATTAGAATGCTTTGGCACCATCCCTGACATGGGGGCTGATAAGACGCCTTATCTCAGAGACACCCGAGGAAAAGGTCCCCTCTACCAGATAACGCCCCTGGCTGTCGATATGCCCTTTCATAGCTGAGGATTTAGATAAAGGAAATGTGACAGGGGAAGGGAAAGAAAGGAAGAAATTTTGCAGGTCCTAGGAGGAACTGAGCCTGCTGCTTGCCTTGGCAGAACAATGAAAGGGAGAAGGATGTCTAAGGGCTGTCTTTATTTTTATTAAAAGAACAGAGAATTGGGGCCTTTGGCCCTGCCTGGTTTTTGTCATCTCTCCCTGTCTGGCTGGCTGCAGAGGCTGGTGGGAGGGGACGACTTGGAAATAGCAACGTGGACCTTAGGACTGTAATAGTAGCCAGCATTTACTGACTGTCCCCCTGTGCTAGGCCTGTCCCCCTGCCTTCCACCTCCTGATCCTCCCCAGCAGATTCTGTGCTTATCTCTATTTCCCAGATTAGGAAATGGTCACAGAGAGTGGGAGCAATTGTCACAAGGTCACACAGCTTGTAGGTGGGGCATCAACAGATTCTGAACCTCACTCCATGGGATGGCAACTCTGTAGAGTTTGGGGGCCCATCAGCCCCCAGCTCCAGTCAGCTGGGCAGGGAGGAGCAGCAGCCAGGCCCCGCCTCTCCCCAGGGTCTCAGTCCACTTCCATTTCCCCCAGAGGGCTGGGATCACAGAGGGGGAGCTGAGGGCAGGAGGAGGGCAGAGGCTCCCAGGAGGGCGCCCACTCGTTCCATAAACATTCAGTACCGGGCAGAACAGTACTGACACGATTACCTCTGGCCTCACTCACTCTGGGTAGCAAACACTTGTTCAGCATCTGCTGGGGGCCACCCCTGTGGCATGTGCTGAGTATCATGTGCTGAGACATCAGCAAGAATGTCCTGTCCAGGAGGCACCAGGGCAACAGCCAACCAGAACTGACCTCCCAAAGCTAGCTATACCCCAGCCCTGGCTATAACCAGACTCTGCTGGCCTCTCTCTGCAGACCCCAGCGGGCCCTGCCCTCAGCAGCAGGTGGGTGGGACATGTCCTCATGCGTGGGGCACCCCCAGCAGGCTGTGCTGGCCCTGGAGCAAGGCAGAATGTGAAGACATACTTGGGCGTCATGGCAGGGCAAGGCTGTGACCCTGTGAAGGTCATGACTGCACCCCGTCAGCGCTCATCCTCTCCCTTCCCCCTGAAGCTGCCTATGCCGGTTTCCGGGCTCCACTCAAGGCCAAAGACCAGCTGTGGCCAGGAGAGGAGAGGAAGGTCAAGCCAGGCCTTCCTAGAGCCAACAGGATTATGCATTTTGCTGGCCTTACCGGCTCAGGGTGGCACCAGCCAGCCAGGGACCAGGCGCTGGGGTCCTGATCAGCTGAGTGACTTTAAGGAAGTCACTGTCTCTGAGTCTCTGTTTTCCCAGTTAAAGCTTAAAGAAGAGGGAGCCAGCTGACTGACAAGGGCCACGAGAGGATGGTATGGCTTGGTTTCCAGACACAAGCTGTACACAAGGCACAGGTCCTTGGCCTGTTGGTACGAAAAGGACTTTGGGTGCGACCCCTCTCTCTGAGGGATTTGGAATCTCCATAGAGGTGACAAGATGGGACACTGGAAAATCCCAGTGGTTCATGTGAAGAGCAGGCTGGACAGAGAGGATGCTGAGTCCCCTAAAAGGAAGTGGAGGAAGAGACGGTACCTGACACCCCTCCGGGGCCTCCTGGCCTGCACCCTTGTCACTGTCAGTCCATCCCTC